ACTCACACCAAAGGTCCAATAGATTCTCAAGTCTTGATGAACGCGTTAGCACGACTACATCAGAGCGACCCGCGGGACTCGTTCATATCGTCCCCATCACCAGATATCTACTCACCAGAGAACCGCTCACCAGAGAGAACAATGAATATGACGGGCCGTTAAATGACATCATCAGTACACACAGGAAGCCCAAACATTGTTAATGTGCCACTATATTACGGTATTTGGTGAAGTAAATCAGCAAGACCTTAGCTATGAAGCTGTTTTGAATAGACTGTTAATGTGTCTTGGTCTTCACGAGTGTCGTTTATAACGACATAAGAGTGATTTCCCACTGGCACAAATACCATACTTGGGCTTCCTGTACTGTTTATAAGTCACATGACATCGATGTGGTGTTGAAGGAGTTTGTCTTGGTGGAACACAAAGGACGACAATCTAATATATTTTTGTTAAAAATTAACAATAGATAAAATGAAGAATTAAACTAACACTTCAAGGTAATTCAATAACTAACTAGTTTAATAATAAAGTCAAAATAACAAAAACAAACTCAAAGCCATCAGTGATATGGAGCATCGTAATTATTTTTTTCACTATTTATTCTTTCTACAATTTTTTATACGAAGCATTGGCCTGTAAAACCTAACGAATATAAAGTGTAAATACTATATTTTTGTATATTTTTGTTTTGAAATAAAACCAACAGAGGGGCTTAACGGCAGACATGTTGTAACGAACAACAATTCACCATCTTCACAAAGCAATTCTCCATTTACACAAAGCGCTCAAGTGAAGGCGCCAATTAAGGTACTTCAATTCAAAGGATTATTCCAATATGAACCTTGCAATCTCGACTGAATGCTTTGTTTTTGACCAGTTAACCGATGTATGGAAAATGGTGAATAAGAATGTTCTTCTTTGGGGAATAAAATCTCTTGTCAGATAAAGACATTCATTGTATTGTTCCTACCTTACAACATGGCTGTCGTAAAACCACTCTATATCTAAAGAAAAAACTTGTTTGTATTTTATTTTTACGAGTTATACGGTCAGTTCACCTCACTTTTCTAAAGTTGAAGAAAGACTTGTAACCTCCTTGAAGTGAAAAGGATTATGGGGCTGAATGGGGGACGTAAGATGGCGCGGAGCTTTTTGATTTCGTCCCCACATTCATTTTCACAATCCTATGCACGACTAGGTAGTTACCAGTCTTTCTTTGAACTTTGGACGGAAGACTGAACGTTACTCAGCTACACTAAGCAGACTAAGCAGAATCATTCTTGTCTGGCTTGTGTACGAGTAACTCCTTGTAAGGCAAGGTGAGTTAAAGATATGTGCACCCAATCTGGACCACAACCCAACGATTTTGCCATGCTAAGAAATCGTTTGAACGAAGGAATAAAATTAATATTATAGTTGTATCTATGTACAAAAAAAAAAAAATTAACATTTTTGGATGGAAGAACAGGGCTTGCGAACTTCATCAAACAGACAGCATTGTTACCCTTCAACCAAGCAGTTAACCCCTAAATCCCCCCCCCCCCCCCC